TTGTGTGTGTGTGTGTGTGTGTGTGTGTTTTGGAATGTGTGTGTGAGAGTTTGAACGTATGTGAGTGTGTGTGTGTGGGGTGGGGGGAGGGGGGTCGTAATCGTGTGTTTTTTCGTGTGTGTATGTGTGAATGTGTGTAAAAGTGTATATTCGCTTGTGTGAGTATTAATGTGTGTAAATTCTTAAATTCATGTGTGTGTATATATGTGTGTGTGTGTGTGTGTTTGCCCGATGGCGTGTGCTTTTTTTCTTCAGTCAAGATACGCTTGTACTGAGTCAGACCAGACCTCAACAGTCTACTTCATGATTACCCTCACAACATAACTCACAACCCAACACTAAGGAACGTGCAATCTAACCCCTCGGGATCTGACTGAATACCAATACCAAGCAGCGAGACACGACAATTGACATTTATAACAGTCCTCTCAAATCGCAATGTTTTTTCACCCAAGACTGGAAATATCATGAAAAATCGTTTCAGTTCTCTCTTTATCAACAACATTCTCAAATAAAAATTTTAAAAATAATAAATTAATGAAAATAATAAATCCCACTTAAAGGTTGTGTCTACCAAGTCATTGTGGTCTTTTAATTTTGTTAACTTTATTATAAATACATTTTATTTTTGCCTCTGTTTTGGGAAATAATATTAAAAATCAATTAGCGAATTACGGAACGCATTTCTAATTGATGGCACAACAAATGTGGGATCTAATTGCTGGCCGTGGTCTGAAATGTTGACTGCGTCCACTCTCAGGATTGTTTTTGTTATATCATTGTTAGATAAGATAAGATAAGATAAATAAGATAAGAAGAGATAAGATAAGATAAGGTAGGCTTTATTGTCCCAGACATAATTTTTTTGTTGGCTGTAAGGGACCGTAAAAACACACGCAGGTATTGTATGGCTCTTTTCGTCTAAGCAGACGGACAGTTTAGCTTCAGATGGTCTCAAGGTTGTCTTCATGCAACTTCTTTCATGGCTCTGTTTGAAGCGCAGATTCTGTCGCAGTGCTTGCATGTCAGTGACATGGATCGACGCTCTGTATTTCCGCTGTTTTTCTTTCGTCATTGGCGCTTCTCAGCGTCGTTGTTTCTGAGGTTGCTCTCTAGCATTATAGTTCCTTCCTTTATCATTTTCCTCCATGTTTTCCAGTCCTCGTGCAGGTATACATGGAAATTAAAATTACATGTTATTCCTATTAAAATTCAAAATGAAAAAAAAATTAAAGCTGACAATAATGTCCATATCACATCATTCTTTGCATGAACGTGAATTTCCTGAATTTGTGCACTCGTCATGATCTCTTCGGATATTTCTCATATATTATACACCTACATTAACTGGTAGCTACAGAAGCACAATAAGGGATTAGGCGACAACCCATAGGGCCTGGATATGCCAAGATTGGAGACGGTGGCCATGGACAGGCAAACGTGGCATAGACTGCCTGCTCTCCTCCTAATGTGCCTGACGCTACATGGAGAGAGTAAGTAAGTTACACACAAGGACCTTACAACCTCCTTGGTTACACATTGTGTACTTGACGCCCTATTTTAACAATCTCGATCCTAAATTCTAGCAGCGATGTTACTGCAATCCTTCTCATCAAGGCCAACACTGGCGCTTCGGGATACTACTTATAAACAATAATAAGGGGATATTCCTATACGGAGTCTTTTTAACACAGGGATAAGAACCTTATCATAGCGTTACAAACGCCAGTAACCCTGCAGTTATAGTAGTAGTAGTAGTAGTAGTAGTAGTAGTAGTAGTAGTAGTAGTAGTAGTAGTAGTAGTAGTAGTAGTAGTAGTAGCAGTAGTAGTACTAGCAGTAGTAGTAGTAGTACTTAGTAGTAGCAGTAGTAGCAGCAGCCGCTGCAGCAGTAGTAGTATTGTTATTGAAGCCACACTTTCACTTTCAGAATTGACATTGAAACAAGGTTTTTTATATTATTATTATTTATTTTTGGGGTTATTACTCTGCCGTTACTGCGCGAAAACATGATGTCCGTTTAGAATCGTCTCGTAATCAACAGCGACGTATGTGCTGTAATGGATAAGCATGCAGGAGGCCCGAGTTCGATTTCCAAGTGGGAAGAATTTTTAGCGAGCGTTTATTACTCCTGGGATGCAGCAACATTCTCAGCCCGGTGTGACCTTTACAGGCGGGGTCGGAATCCTGCCTCATAAAAATAATCTTAATTATGAGAATGGGGGTTCATTTTGTTTTTGAAATTTTTGCTACGTTTTTTTTTTCAAAAGCAAGCGAGAATCTTCGGAAACGTTAGAACTGTCCAGTTTATATTACGTTTTAATCTGGAAATTTTAATTTGTCCGATGATATGTTTATTCCATCAGGTACAAACTGGGCACTCGGACTCAGAGGGACTCACGAGGAATCTGCACTCAGCACTACATGATCCTGTCGGCTTAGTTTTCAGGGGTAAAAGCCAACTTTAAATTACGCAATAATGGTTATGATGACCTCGACAAAAGGTCCCATTTTTCAGAGTCTGAAGCTTAGATCTATGTGTAAAGTGACAAGATTCGTGGAACCTCTAAAGGAGTATTTACTCATTAGATGGTTGTGAGACAAGATTTGTTCAGAAAGGAGCTCCTCAACGTGACACCTGACGACGATCTGCTGGGCAGTCCTTAACCCTTTTTAATCATTATATTTTAGATAGTAGATACATTGATGAACGCCAGATATTGACCGACGAACATACACATTATCACCTGAAATTCCTTTCAATTGTTTATAAAGCCAGCTGAATAACCACCAAGGTCATACATCAAAAGTCGTTATAGCTCTTACTGAAAATTAGTTATGTTGCTTTGAAGAAAGTTTGTAAAAAGAAAAAAAAATCATAGGTTGCACAGAAAATCAACAACATAATATATTATAAAGCACGACAAGCGAGCCATGCTTAAAAGTCCTTTATAAACAACGCCCCCCCCCCCCCCTTCCTCTCGCCTACAAAAAAGTCGCACCAGTTCAAGTATTAGACAGCGACTGATGAAAATACAAGGGTGGGCGGACACAGTACACAGCACAGCTACACGACATACAGAGTGACACTCACAAACGCCGTGAAGGACTATACAATTAGTGAATAGAGACGTAACAAAAGAAATATATTCGCACACATATGTTACAAAGCTGAAAAGCCTACAAGTATCTTAAGCTGACCAAAGTAGCTTCAAATTGGACAATCTTCATTATGGCGCAAGAAAAGCCGGTTCAAGAAAAGAGTATTGCTGACTCCGAAAACTCTGGCCTGGAACCAGACACGAGTTTCGGGGCTGGAGAAACCAAACCTCACGATCACACCGGAAATGGCGTGGAGCCGGAGGACAAGACAAAGCTCCAGACAGGAAGTGATGGTCTAAGAACAGAGGTGAGGGAGTGCGGCTACCCTATTGACCGAGGATGGGCGTGGCTGATTGTTTTAGGTGAGTATGATGATATTAAGAAAGGAAAGTGAGTAACACAATAACTTAATACATGATCAGAGGTGGAGTCAGAGGTTACTATATCTGGTCATGGCTGGCATATATAGGACCCCCCCCCCCCCTTTTTCCCCCCACACATATACAAGGAACACCTCTATTTCCTGGCCTATTTCCTATTCACCCCCTAATCATTATTTAATAGTCGTGTGTGACTTTTTTTTTACATTTTCAAAACAATGTTACTGCTTATAGTTATAATCTTAAAGGACAGGGACCAGATTTGTTAGGGCCATCGACTTGCACTGGTAGGTCATGCGCTGGTATAAAAGATTCTCCACTATAATATTTGCTGGTATGGCCAGCGCGTGTTGCTCTCTATAAATTATACTACTCTGAGAGGTAGTCTGTGCTCAATGAACTGGAAATACGACCTTTGATAGTTCTTTCCGACCTGGGCGATTATACATAAAAACAATAAATTAAGTAACGTAAGCATGTATGAAGGAAATTCTGCTCAAAAGTAGACGCAATGCGCTGTACGATTAGTGGGCTGTTTTGTAATTCTGGAGGGCGGTGGGGATCACCTGAGTAGTGACAGGTATTATGCAATGCCCCGCTTGGAAATATACACAAAATTTAGGTCGATGATACGGACATTTTAGCAGTGTAAAGTGGATGCCAGCTATAAACATGTTGACCCTGCTACTGTAAGATAAATCTATGATAATGACGTCATCAGGATGGTGTCATCACCACAGCAAGTAATATAATTTGTCATCACGTCTGTTGTTTTTAGTATGCCTAGAATAATATGGAAGATGGCGCAGTTCCAAAGCACGTTTTATGGCCCGTAAACCTCCTAGTCTGTCTTAAATATTTTTCAGTCTCGTCTCGTACAAGTTTTTAAAGCATGCGTAAAGTAATAGAACATCTGGTGTCTAGTATGTGTTTTTAAATGATGATTATTATGATAAGCGTGTGCCGAGGGTGGGGTATTGCATTACGTCATGTACTTATTTGTAAGTGCTCCATCTGTATGTTGTAAGCTATCAATCAACAATATTTGAACGAAACCAGCACAACCAGCTTTATAATGCCATTCAAAATCACGCAAGATTATGCTGAATAAGCGTTTTGCACGGCATGTTGGTAGCCTACCTAAATAGCATTGGAGTTCAAATTCTGATCCTACGCTATTTTCCTATTTTTAGAATGTTGTTGTGTTTTACGCGCCAATGGAAATATGTGTTAGACCACTTGAGAGACTTCTCGGGCGTTGATCCTGCCAGTAGAACCAATTCAGCCTGAGAGGCATTCAACGTCCCAGCAGAAAAAAAGACCGAGATATTCGATAAAAAAGCCCCCCTCGTACAGGAATCGAACTCAGATCTTCCGTGTACAACGGCGAGGTGCCTAACCGCTGCACCACAGATGTGTTTCAAGCTGCGTATGTGTTGCTGTAATTACCTTGGTAAAGTACACTCGCCCAGCAGTGAATCAGCAAAGCTCGGCGAGGCCTACTTACTGTGTTGTCGAGTCATCTCTGTGAGTTCAACTAGATCTAGATCTACCTGCACTGCAGCTAAAGTAAATCTAGCTCTTTAGGTCTTGCACATTGCGAGCACACAAGGAAAGTTTCCACTCGTTGCACGGCTGCGAAGTGTGACGTCACTTGGCATTAGTGAAAGACGAACGGATGAAAAATGCCTTATAAATTTGCATACTCGCAGCCATACGACGAGTGGAAATTTTCCTTGTGTGTGCTCGGGGTCTTACATGAGATTGAGTTCTCGTGCATGCAGGCCATGGTGTTTTGGCTTATCTTCTTCTGTATTCCAGAGCCTGTTTGG